GTCCCACAGCACGAAGATCAGGCATATACATTCTCCTCGTCCGGCCGCAGTGCCACCACAGACACAGATCCAGCGCTAGATGTAAGGCAGGAGACGCTGCGGACGCCGTCTGCATGGACGAGACTGCGGGACTCGCTCGTTGAGTCTGTCTGGGGCTTGCCGCAGCGCAGCGAGGGCTGCGAGTCGCGGCCTAGAAACCGGGCAAAGACCGTCTCGAGGGCACCAGCAACGCTCCAGGCGAGGTACGGAGAGGATGTAGTCCTTAGATTTACGATTAAGAACCAGGAGGAAGTCAAGGCACTAGTTGAAGCGTCGAATATTCTGTTCCTTGATGTCTGGGGCAGCCATGACGACTGGGTTGACATACGGCTCTCCAGGGACGTGGTATGTTTTGCTATATGCGGGTGAAATGATATCCTGATACTGACGGCTATAGATCCCATCGCTGCTTGGGCTGCTGCCTCCGTCCCTACAAACCTCTCACGTCCCTCTGATCCGCGACCTGGCGCAGACCATCTACGAATCGTACCCAAAGGCCGGCTCAGCTCCGCCCTCACAGCAGGGTCCTACGACCCGCCGTTTCTCTCCATCAGCCAGCACCTCGAAATCGAAACCTCATGAGGCCAAGAACATCTTCTTCCAGGACTACCAGCCGCTATCTGTCCTTCTCCCGTGGATGCGCCTACTCGTGTCCATGTTCTCCTCCCACACTACCTTGATCAGCGTGGGCACAACAGCCGAAGGACGTGATATTCCTGCTCTTCGTGTCGGCGTACACCCGACAAATAACGCACAGCAGGCGCCCAGACGAAGGACTATCGTCATATCTGGTGGTACCCATGCTCGAGAATGGATCAGCGTCTCCACGGTCTCATACATCGCATACTCCTTTATAACAGGCTATGGAAAGTCCAAATCGATCACGAAGCTCTTAGAACAGTTCGACTACGTTTTTATTCCCACTGTCAACCCAGACGGCTATGCATATACCTTCTCTACAGACCGTCTGTGGCGAAAGAACCGACAGCAGACCTCCCTCTCTTTCTGTCCTGGAATCGACCTAGACCATTCCTGGGGTTATGAATGGGACGGCAATGCAACCCGCAGCAACCCTTGTTCAGAGAGTTATGCAGGCGATCAACCATTCGAGGCTGTCGAAGCGCGCGAGATCGCCAGCTGGGCCCGCAACGAAGTAACAGTGAATAACGTCCACTTTGTTGCGTTCGTGGATCTGCACTCCTATTCACAGCAGATCCTTTATCCGTATGGCCACTCATGCGCCCATCTACCCGCCAACCTAGAAAATCTTGAAGAACTAGGCGCCGGCCTAGCAAAGGCCATCCGCAAGTCTTCGCGAGAAAACTATGACGTCAAAGCTGCATGCAGAGGCATCGTGGCGTCTTGCACAGGTGATAAAGATGCAGATGAACCAGTCACTTCGTCCGCGCTTGAGAGAACCGCGGGAAGCGCCCTGGATTGGTTCTTTCACGACCTAGACGTCCGCTTTTCGTACCAGATTAAGCTAAGAGATAGGGGGAGTTATGGATTCCTACTACCGAGAGAACACATCGTTCCCACCGGAAAGGAGATCTACCGCGCTATGGTAGCCATGGGGAAATTTTTGGTCAGCCCACACGTCCTAGAAGAAGATATAGACGGGCTACGCGCATCAGAGGAGCCACAGGACTATGATAATGACCTTGAAGATGGCGAGGACGACAAAGATGAGCAAGACTCTACTGTCTTCCGCGCACAGGCAGATGATTTACAGTCTTAGACTGAGGACTACTGGCGACTATAATGACGAATTTTTTTGGTTTCTTCTACCCCAGACAATTTCCCGTTCTTGTACTTACATTTATGTGATTTGTGATTTGGTATGCTTGGTATATAAACTTGGTAAATCGGCAGTGTATTCGGTTAATGAATGGTAATTCTTTTGGCCTACCTTCTCGCTTCTCTCTTGTCTCTCCTTTTCTCCGTCCTAACTATCTTCCTCGCTTGATACCGAAGTGGACCGGATAACTAGGTAACGAACCCAAGCTTTTCAAGCTCCACAATAACTCCCTACCTTAACTGAATCCCACGCACTTTGACCACCGTCAAAAACGATATCGCCTTTTCTCGCCGTCATAGTTGACTCGATGTTGACCAGTTTACCCAGGCTGAAGAAGAGGAAGACTGGTTTCCTGCCAATGGGGCAAGATTCCATCCATTTCCGCCGTCCGGCTAGGTGCCTTGCTTCTGCTCGACTGTTTGGCCCCTCATTTTTTTGCTTTTCGTCTAACTAGTTAACTATAGGACGGTTCACTCCCTGCAAGATTCTCCACACTGGCAATTCGTCAAGGCAATGGTCGGCCTGGGATTGCCGAGCAAGTTGTCATTAAAATGTGCATATCTTGCCCCCTTTTCCCTCATTCTTCTATGAGGGGAGTCGGGATTATCCAATGCACTCGAGGGAGTGAAGACGTGAACGATTGTTCGTATCCAGCTCACCTGATGGTCTCCAGATGTCGGATAAGAAGAAAATATCAAAAGGGACGAAAAGAACAGCAGGATACACCTGACTCTCATTCCGACTTTGCATATTTGTTTTGGAAGAGGGGAACGGGTGTATTCTAGCTTTTTCTATTGGAAGAAAGAATCACAAATATCAACAGCAACTTTGCCCACATCTTTCGCAAAGTCACTGAAAGCAACTTATTTTTCAACGTTATCGGTTTGACAGGACGATTATTGATAGCATGACAGATACAGTCTCAACCATGCCGATTGCAAGCTCGGCTGAAGAGCAGCTTTTGACTGCTAATAGGGACAAGAAGCCCAGATGGTCCATTATTGAGAAAGCCGAAAGATCACACCGTCGTGTACCGGGATTGAGAAAGATACCATTGCCTGCTCTCGCTATTATATTTTTTATTGCATTGATCAATATACTGGTTTGGATCGCAGCGGGGATTGTATTGGTGAGTGTTGTATGTCCGTCTAGTAATTTCTACCAACACTGACTGTGAACTAGGCATATCACCCGTAAGTTTTCTTAACCCGGTAACTATACGTTCCAGGTTAGCCGCTGACGCAATGAATTTACACGCATAGCTTCTTAGCATCAACAGCTGCTCTTGCATATAGCCTTGGTTTACGTCATGCTCTCGATGCGGATCATATATCAGTGAGATGGCTATATCTTTTACGTCTAATGATAGTATCTAATTCTCATTATAGGCTATTGACTTGATGACGCGGCGTCTTCTTGCAACAGGTCAGAAAGCAGTTACAGTAGGGACATTCTTCTCGCTTGGCCATTCAACGTAAGGTCCTCTCCAAAAACTAACCCTGATACTTGTCAACTGACACCCCTAGTATCGTTATCATCACTTCAATTGTGGTGGCAGCCACTGCAGCAGCAGTTTCAGATAAATTTGATAAATATGGTTCAATTGGTGGCATCATCGGGAGTTCCGTCAGCTCTGCATTCTTGATTCTTTTGGGTATCATGAATGGGTACATCTTGTATAAACTCGTCCTTCAGATGAAAAAAGTTCTTCGTGACAAAAACAAAGGAGAAGAAATGTGGAAAATCGAAGGAGGTGGTATTCTCTTCTCCATTCTCAAAGGGATGTTCAAAATAATTGACCGGTAGGTTATCTCCCTGGCTAAGATAAGCTCAATTTTATATGCTTATAACTAGACATTAGGCCGTGGAAAATGTATCCGCTTGGAGTGTTATTCGGCCTTGGGTTTGACACTTCTTCGGAGATTGCTCTTCTTGGGATATCATCTGTCCAAGCATCAAAGGGAACTAGTATCTGGTTGATCTTGATTCTCCCCATTTTGTTCACAGGTATGGTCCATTATTTGTTCAATACCTCGTGACTACAAGGAGTTCAATGCTGACCTGAATTCACAGCTGGAATGTGCCTGATAGACACTATCGACGGTGCTCTTATGCTTTCTCTCTACGTGCAGCCAGCAGCACATTTTCTGGACTCAAAGTCACAGCCATCAGCCGAAATATCCGCTGCGCCTATTCCCCCAGAAACGCCTAAGCCACAGTCTACCCCAGTCGAGGAACCAGTATCCCGGAATCCTCGAGACCCGGTTGCGTTCCTCTATTACTCCATAGTTCTCACTTCTCTGACCGTCGTAGTCGCCATCGTAATTGGCGTCATCCAGCTTCTGACTCTCCTCTTAAACGCTTTGAAACCACATGGGAAGTTCTGGGACGGCGTTCAAGTTGCCGGTGATTATTACGATGTCATCGGCGGTGCCATATGTGGACTGTTCATCATTTTTGGAGGCATAAGCGTCTTAGTTTACCCACAGTGGCGACGGTGGGCTGGCAAGAACCAGGACAGCGCACCAAGCTGTGGCCATCATGTCAGCCAGGCTGACGAAGAGAGTCGAATTGACGGTCTGGATGTTGCCGTTACAAACACACAATCGCTTTCCCAGGCAGGAGAAAACCCAGTAGATAGCCCCAAAACAGGGACTGCGGCTGATACGAAACTTGTTTGACCGAGATCTATCCACGGTTTTGATTATCGATCGGTTAGCAGATGAGATTCATAAATCTCAAGATACGAACGAACCTGGCGATCAAACGAAGGTTTATTGAGTATTAATTAAACGTGGTTTGGACAGGGTCTGCATTGTGGTAAAGGCATCTTTAAATCATAGACCAAGATGCACAGATGATATCACACGAATCGGCTCCTTTGCTCATAAATTTGTCTTTGTGTTTATAGATCCATCGACAAGCTTAAGAAAGCAATATCCAAACCAAATAGTATAACGTTTTAATACACGTCTGCAGGATGGGCTTAGACGTCACAACTTGTATCAAACAATTATTTTGGTTATATGTATATTCAAAGGTCTAACTAAATACAGGGTAATGGAATAGTTACAATTAAGGCATTCAGTAACGAAAAGAAGCGAAAGTTCATGAAGCACTGCTTCAGTGTATGATGGGCATCAGAATTCCAAAAGGTCACCGCTTAGTTCCAGAAGCTGCTAAACATCTTGCGCCAGTGTTCACCGCCGAAGTACTTCTTCCAGAATCCATCGAAGTCGAAGTTATCGCCACCTGGGTAGGGGGTGTGTGGGTGCTGGGGGGCTGGGGCGGGAGCGGACTCGCCTGGGAAAGGTTCGCCTGGGAAGGGTTCGCCTGGGAAGGGCTCACCTGGGAAGGGCTCGCCGGGCTGACCAGGCTGGCTGGGGGTCGGCTGCTGGGGCTCACCTGGGAAGGGCTCGCCGGGCTGACCGGGCTGGCTGGGGGTAGGCTGCTGGGGTTCGGAGGGCTGGGATGGGCTGGGAGATGGGCTGGGGGCAGGATTGGGGTTTGGTTTGCCACCCTTAGCACCACCGTTGTTGATGAGGACGTTGGTTGGGGTGCCTGGGCCGGCATCGGTGATGGAGGAGGTACCAAGCTCCTTGAGACGGTCGCAGACGGCACCACCAGAGATACCCTCGAGAGCCATAAGGTAGGCAGCAAGACCAGCAACGTGAGGAGCGGCCATGGAGGTACCAGACATGGACTGGGAACCACCACCTGGACGGGCAGAGATAATGTTGGAGCCGGGAGCGAAGAGGTCAACTATATCAAGTTAGAAAGGTATCTTATAATCTGAGATAGACAAGACTTACTAGCTGGACCCCAGTTAGAGAAGGAGGAGCGGCTATCATCCTCAGCGGAGGAGCCGACGGTGCAGACGCTGGGTTCGGAAGCAGGAGAGCTGCTCTGAGCATCCTGGTTGTCGTTACCGGCAGCAACGGAAAGGAACATGCCCTGTTCAACAGCCTGGGCGGCAGCACGGTTGAGGGCAGAGCTGGAGCTACCACCGAGAGACATGTTCATGACGGCCTTCTTAGTGCCGCCGTTCTGGCGGGCATGCTCAACAGACCAGTTAATACCGGCAACGATACCACTGGTAGGGCCACTTCCATCGTTACCCAAGACCTTGACGGCAACAAGCTTGGCCTTCTTAGCAATACCGAACTCCTTACCGACCATGGTACCGGAGGTGTGGGTGCCGTGGCCGCTGCCATCTCTGTCATCACCGTCGTTGACCTGGTTGGAACCCCAGATAGCACGGCCCTCGAAATCCTCGTGGTTGACATCGACACCAGTGTCGACACTGTAGACAGTGATACCCTCACCGGCAGAGCTGTCGTAAATGTAGCTGCCGGCTCCGGGCTGGGGGTTGGAGATTCGAGCAAGACCCCACGATGGGACGTTGCTCTGTTCAACCTTTCCGTGAACGGAGATGATAGTGTCAGGCTCAACAAACATGACCTAAGAGAGCGTCAGTTTATATTCGGAGATACTTGCAAGTGAGTTCTGATCTATCTGATAACATACCTTGGGGTCTTTGGCGATATCCTTGATGGTCTCTTCGTCGAAGATACCGCTGTATCCCTTCATCTTGCTGAAGTTGTACTTATGTCTCATGCCGGCGTTCTGAATGGTTGCACGGCGGGTGATGTTATGGGTATGGGTAGACTGGAGCCAGCTCTGATGGTGGTTGAAATCATCATCGGAGGTGTCATCTTTCATCATGACAATGTACGAGTTGGGAACAGTCTGCGCATGAGGCATAGACAGGATTTGGGCGGCATTGGCAGCGGACACAGCCGCGAGGGATATGGAAATGAATCTGAAAACACCCATGGTGAACGACTGACAATAAGAAAGAAAATAAAAATAAAAATTAAGAAAAAAAAAAAAAGAATGTGATACCAGGAGACTGGTGTAAAAGACTGTGTAGATAGTTGGAACCTTGGTTGTCAAACAACTCGATGAAGGGGAAACGTTGACGATTTATATAGGTATATCCTCCATCCCTGAGCTTTGGGAACTTCAAGCAGAAGAACACTCTCCATAGCTGGTGGGTCTCATGAATGCCCATGCATTAAAATATTCACATTCTGCTCCATTCGGGAAAACATCCTTGTATCAGCCAAAGCCCACTTCAGTAACAGAGAGTGAATGGGATGATGACGCGAGTCGAGCTTCACCAAAAGTGGAATGCCAGTAAAGTCAGGGTGGAGTGATAGTTTAGGAGGACAGGGTGATAACCGCTGCCAAGGTTCAAGCATACTGAGGGATGGTGCTGATATAAGATGGAGCTCCTGGGTCTGACCATAGTATACTGAAGCAATATTGCATAGCAAAACCTTCTATATTGGTCCCAGATATATCGATGGATAGCAAGTCGGCGGAGACGTCATGATTCCTCTGACGATTGGCTACATCAGCACATCCAGGTGTACACTCAAGGGGTAATAAAATCACTATTGACCATCATCGCCAGACGAATTGTTGCTGGTATCAATGGTGAACCTCGGCTTAAGTATTTGTTAAAACTGCAGGAGGCAAACATTATGCTGAAAAGCGAGTCACAATCAATTCGACACAGCAGTTCCCCAAACGAAGGATGCCACTTCTGCGTTGGTTCTATCCTGTTGAGGTATCGATTGCATCAACGGCATCGCTAGCTGGAGGAATATGCATGTACCACCAAAGCGGCACTGTAGCCTGAAACGAAACTCTGTCTCCTGAGGTCCGATTTTTTGCCCGGGAACAGTACCCAAAGATGAAGTCTCCGTATTTCTCGAGACATAATCTCGCTGATTTAAGGGGGTGTCCCCAGCTCAATCCTTGCATCTGTCAGGGGAAGCTTTGGTCAGGATAGCCGCCCGCGCACTTGCGCCGTTTCATTGGTGGATTTTAGTTCCAGCGATTGATTGGCAAGGGGTTCCTTGAGCCTTTCTCTGCGACACGGCTCGATCAAAAGTAACCAGTCGGATAGTTCTGGGATACTTGGTACGCCCAAAAATAATACAAAAGCTCCCAAGGAATTTCTTGCTGTGCCAAGAGAGAGAAGGGTTCTGGAAAGCTAAACGCTCCCAGTGAGTGGGGTGAGTTGTCAGACAAGGCGCGAGGTGGATGTCCTGCATAAACTGCGAGCCCGTGAAAGGAAAAACGAGACTGAACTCCGTATCATTAATATTGTCGAGTTCCGCAGAACAAACAGCACCAGCTAACCAAATGCCTTTGGTGACACATATTAACCCTGCGCTGAGCTGCATGATAACACATGCATTAATGTAAAGTTATGTTTCTTGGAGCGTGGGTCGGCGATATTATGATTTTTTGTCCCGATAGTGGCCATGAGGGGGAAGTTGGGGCTAGCCTGGGACTGGCGAACCACCCGTGCATCATGCATTGAAGTCCAGGTGGAGTGACGAAAATTTGACCAGGAAAAGAAAAGAAGCGGGCGTTGGTGAGTTCCAACGGCGAGACACTCACAAGCCACAGGGAACTCCGTCTCGTTCCTGCGCTAGAGCCGGCTAAGCAAGTGGCCGACGGCTGAGCTCAAAGACATCAAGACCCACGACCAGGCCATTATTCGATCTTTCAAGCCCCAGAGCTTAGGTTGGGATGTGCCTGGGTTGGCGATGAGAATATACCGTTTGGTTGTCTGCCTTGAAAACCTGTCGATTTGAAAGTCAAAATTCAAGTTTATGTACGGAGCACGGAGTAAACGAGGAGGAGTTTGCCCTGAAACATGACAGAGCCCGAGTGCTGAAATATGATTCATGCAGCCGAAGCCGAGGGAAAAGCTCTCCATTTAGAAATTTTTATGGGGTCAGCGCTCTCTTGGACTTAATTCTCACGATCCAAGGGCCCTGCAGCGGGTTCAAATCGACATAGCATGGCACCAGAGCCCTGCAAAGAACAAACAGAGTGATACTTTCCGCGGGCGCGAGAATTCACCGACCTCTTTGCTTTTTGTTCCTGGCATGGGTGAAATGTTCCTACGCAAAACCCCTGGAATATGGCAGTTTTTATTTCGCCGATAATATTGAATGACACCATTTTTACACAGCGTAGGTCACCGAGTAGCAACATTCTTTGGAGTCCGTAGTTGATTTTATTGGTAGTCTGCAAGCAAGAAGCCATGATTTTCCACGGCCTCAATTTCAGGAGATATAATAATACAGGACGGAGAGGAAGATATTCGCGGCTAATCCATGGTTTGCTCTTTGGGTTTGGTCCTCCGTATCTATATTCCGTTGGAGCGATCTCAAGCATGAAATAAGATTTAAAATGCCTCCTCCGTGGTTACTTCGTCTGTCCTCTGTACGGAGTACGAGGAGAAGTTCCACAGCTCGCCAATATACAGCCACATCCGGGGTTAAGAGAATGGAGATATAGCAACGCAAGTGACCACACATGCAGTTCTAGTCTCAGTTTGAAAGGCAGGTCTTGCCGGGAACAATATTGGCATCATGGACATGCTGCATGTGTAGCTGAATTTTTCGAGTAAGAAGCCTTCTAAATGTCAAGGTTTACCTAGAGCCGAGACCACGATAGGCTCGTTCCCCTGCATGCTTATCCTGGACGGAAATCAGGGCGATCATCCAGTAATAACGGAGCCAGACTGAGCATTGAAATGCTATCGATATCCATATATACGATACGCCAGGGCAAGAACTTCTTAACTGTTCCTCATCCGTTGAGAGGGTTCGAAGAATTGGCTTGTTGTTCCCGAGGGGTCATGTCCGTGTGTGGCAGTAAAAGCAAGCGATAAGGCCTCCTGTTCCATACTTGGGAATTGTTGGCCTATTATTCCAGTCCACGGAGTAAGGAACGGGACGAACGAGATCAAAGGTACAGAGTAGTTTAATCGCTGTTTCAATGTCCCCGTGGCCCGCCCCTGTCAAGTTGGCTTCAAGGCAAACACGGCTTGAAGCGACTTTTAAACTCCGGGTAAACTCTCAAAAGCGAGGAAGTCCCAAGGGGGTGGTAGCGTGATATTATTGAAGTTCAAGAATCACCCGCCAATTCTTGATTCTAACGGAAGAACAACGACCGGCAGTGTTGATCTTCTGACTGTATTCTTGTAGCCAGTCCTCTTGTCGTTTTTTTGATATCAAGAAGTCGAAATACAGTGAGCACGTGACAAATACGGAAGATTATTGCTCCATCAATATTCACGTGACAACCTAATATTTGGCCCAACCTCCTGTCATGAGTACAAAAAGTTGCAACTTGATAATATGAGTCCATCTCATCAACGATATCATTTTTCACCCCATTAGCATTATAGCTTTCTGTAATATCTAAATGGAAAGCCGTGTTGGAGACTTATATTCACCAGCAAAGTGTTTCAAGATACCCCTCAGTGTCGCGGCTGCATTTGAATTCGCCATTCCCTGAGTCTGAGCAATCGTATATAGGGATAATTCAACTCGAATTATATTCAAACCCTAGGTGATTTGATTCATCTTATTCCCTATATCTTGTTTCCTACCATTTAATCCTCAATGTGACCTATGCTTCCATCCTATGGAGCCGATTCTCATGCATATGTGAACTTCTCCTTGCATTGTATATATTATGGAGGCACCGTTATGAAATTCGAGTTATATTGTTTTTTGCTGAGTTATTCCCCTTGCTTTTGTACCTCGGGGTCGATGTGTTTCATTGGCGTGAGCGGGTGATAGCGCTCTCCAAAACAATGGAATTCCATGACATTCCCGGATTTCCGGATGCCGATATCGAAGATACGATCGATCTCAGCTCCTGCCCCACTATATTCGTGCTTCCTACTCACATAACCCTGGAAGAGCTCCATGCTATTGAAGGTACACTTTCGAAATGCGGCGCTCCATTAACCTATGACATCACGGAGGCCCGTCTAGCTATTGGTAAAGTGTCCCACGAAAAGCGTGCAACATTGGAGCTTCGTTCAAAAGGGCTCTGGACAGAGGGCATTACAATTGCAGAAGCAATGGACGAACCAGCTCAAAAGCGTCGGCGTTTGGATGATAATAAAAACATTCGGGTGATCAGATTGAGCTGGGTACACGAGTCTCTAAAAGCAAAGGAGCCTCTACCGTTTGAACCGTTTACTGTTTACGAAGGCCGTAAAATACCAAAGCCGCCTACTGCAAGCTTGGAGAAAGCATTGTCAAGCACAACTTCCCCGGATCGATGTGCGGCTCAAGAAACTGCTCTCTACCAGAGTCCTGGTAGCAGCATTCTTGAAAGGGCTAGAGGAGACACACCATCATCGTCAATGAGATTTATACCATCATCTCCATCTCGTCGAGTGAAGGCCACCTCGGGCAGTCCTTCAGTTATTAAGCAAAGGCCAAAGTTGTACCGCGCCTCAACTTCGGACTTTGAGGAAGAAGCTTCTATACCAGATCCCCCTGAATGGGTACGCAACAAAGTCGTATATTCCTGCTGTCGCTCTACTCCGCTTCATTCACCCAACGCAGAGTTTATCGGCCAACTGCTTAAGATCAAAAAGATCCGCGAGTTAACTTTGGATGAGGTTGGGGTTCGTGCATATAGCACGTCCATAGCTTCCTTGTCCGCATATCCATATAAACTGAAATCTCCCGAGGAGGTTCTATCCCTACCAGGCTGTGAAAATCGAATTGCGAATTTATTCACAGAATGGAAACATAGTAAAGACGGCATCCTGGAATCTACATTACCGCTCACTACTGACCCAGCGCTGAAAGTTATTAACTCGTTTCATAACATATGGGGTGTTGGAGCTAAATCCGCTAGAGATTTTTATTACCAGAAGCAATGGAGAGATTTAGACGATATAGTCGAACAAGGTTGGGATACCTTATCCCGAGTACAACAGATTGGGGTGAAATACTATGAGGAATTCCTTACTGGAATCCCAAAGGAGGAAACTGTGTCTATTGCCAATACCATACTGCACCATGCGAAGCTCGTCAGGCCAGATTCTGATTTCGATGGCGAAGGAGTTGAAATTATTATTGTCGGTAGTTATCGGCGGGGTAAAGAAGAGAGCGGCGACGTGGATGTGATCCTTACTCACCGGGATGAAAGAGTGACGTCCAACCTGGTGTTCGATGTCGTTGCAAGCCTCGAGCAAGAAGGATGGATCACGCACACGCTTGCTCTTCATCTTACAAATACCAACCGCGACCAACAGACTTTACCATATCGGGGAGAATCAAGCGGAAAACCCAGGTTTGACAGCCTGGATAAAGCTCTCGTCGTATGGCAGGACCCTAACTTTGATGATAATCCTTCATCGCCATCTTCGTCCGAGGACTCCGGGGAGATAAAGTCCCCTCCTCTCGCACCAAAGGAGAAAGCAGAAGAACGGAAAATGAACGAGGACGTGAAACGGCAAGAGCTTACCTCCCAAGATTCCAGCCGTGATACCCTGGCTGGAGAGCTTGGAACATCAACTGCCCCAATCGCGGTAAATCCCCGAAAGGCAAACCCAAATCTCCACAGGCGGGTTGATATTATAGTATCCCCTTTCCGAACTATAGGGTGTGCTGTACTGGGATGGTCGGGAGATACAACCTTCGAACGTGATTTACGCAGGTACGCCAAAAAGATGCACAACTGGAAATTCGACTCGAGCGGTATCCGGTCTCGAGAAGGAAGTGGGGGGAGGATTATTGACCTTGAGAGCAAAGGGAAGACATGGCAGGAGAGGGAGAAATTGGTCATGGAAGGCTTGGGGATTGGATGGAGGCCACCGACTGAGAGGTGTACAAGGTGACAGGGCTGGCCAACACAGCGATATCAATCCCTCGCCTATCATATGAGCCCGTTTATTTACAAAGGGGGAAATGGGTAGGGCAGCAACCAATGATGCGCGAGGGAGCGGAAGTGCTGAGATTAACTAACTTACATGGTGGAGTGCCAACTACTTATATATATAGCTCGCGAGCTCCCGACAGCTTTATCAAGCGCTAAACCCTGGACAATTCTGAAACACCAGTGGGCCATCCAACCTAACTAATTTGTGAACACGAACCAAGAATGTCTCCAGACCTCACTGACGATTGTTAACAAATGGACGGACTGGGGTCTTTTTCTTGTTATCGGTACCTTGATGCGGTTGCCAAATAACTATGGAGTAGTTAAGAACATACAATTCGTTCAATGATTACTGAAGATCCGATGCATGTACCAAAGGGAGAATGATATCGTGAACCGGATGGCGGCTAACCTGTCAAATAAGTTAAACCCAAAGGAAAATCTTTAGGGAAACCATAGAGGAACACGCCTGATGGAGACCTTGGAACCAACCTCGTGGATGTGACATAGGAGCAGGCGCTTATGCTCCTTTCATTATATACCCAAATACTCTGAAAACATATATGAATAACACAAGTGCCAATGGTTCAGGATACCATGTGGCCCTTTCCTATCGTTTCCCGACAACGCTTTGTGATATCACCCACATTCTTCACTGCTATACAAGAGATATACTACTTGGCAGCTTAAGGACCGAGATGTGTTTAAAAATGTGGGGAGTTTGCTCCCTTTTTATATCTTGCGACTGGTGACCGATGTTGCGGTAAATGCCAGGATGAAAGCATGATCAAAGCAGGCATCAGAACATCGTGGATGGAAGATAGTCGGATGCCATGGCCGGATTCCGATGATGACCTTGAGTTGGATGGGGACCCCGACATTAATAAAACTCGTGAATTCATCGGGATGGGGGCAATAAAATTCCCACATATGAGACCTGACAACACGTTAGAATACGGTCATTCATATAAAGGATGCGAGTGGGAATATTTACAATACGAATCGGACCAGTTATTGTACGATATGAGCCTTTCGGGCCAGAAAGAGTATCTGGTTACTTATGCCCTTCGAGGGAGAGGCTTACGTGCCTGGCCGAGGGGCGAGTTTTTAAAACACGTTGAAGAGTGCTATGGAGCGCAGCAATTGCTCTCCTCTATTGATGATCGAGAGCCAGAAGAATGATTTTCTTTGACTATATTTTCACAAAATGCCATTGAACTAGCAACGAGGCTGTGATAGCCAGGATGAAACAAGTGAACGAGGATATGGTATGAGACAGGCAGAAAGGGAGGCCCAATCGTCTAGCTCCAGGGTTTGTTTTTGTGATATGTATAAACGGAAGATGGGTTAAATAATAAGTAATAGCTTGTACATAGGGAGAGGATGAAGAAGTGGCATAAAAAAGCGAATAATATAATAAAGCAATCAAATATCCCCCGCACAGAAGAACCGGTCTCTCCTAGCAAGTAGACAAAAGCAGGCAAAAAGGCGATCTAGAAATAAAGCACCAAACGAGGAAAGAGGACCAGAAGCAAGCAAGCAAGTAATGACTAGCTGATGGCTAAATCGATCCAAATCCGGGGGGAATAAAGGGGGAACGGGAACAGGAGGGTATAAAAACTGCCTCCGTAGAAGGAGAAAGAAATCATCATGTCAAAAACAAAAGGGGAGAAAAGCAGTAGTAGTAGTGCTAAATAAAAGAAGAGGGGAATAAAAGAGGGAAAGAAGAGACAAATGGGCAAAAATATTATACTACATATCGAGAGCTAGACGCTCAAGTCATTGGCCGTGAACTTGCCATTTCTCCATATCGTCCTCTGCTTCTCGTCGTGTCATAAGCATTAACAACCCTCATCTGGCCACCTTCATCGGCCTGACTGAAGGCATAACCTCTCTGTTTGCGCATACGCTGGACCTGGCGGACTTTCCGGATAGCCTTCTGGAACTGTTCCATACGTGGCCTGTAGTCCTGTACGTTGTACTTCTGGATCTCTTGGACGTGATGGTAGCTTTGTGGGTAGTACATGCGTTTGGCGTACTTCCAAGCAAAGTCACGAACGAGACAGAGGCAAGGGATGAGGACTGCCATGATCCACACTGTTGGAAGGGGGTAGAGATGTGGGATCATTTGGTAGTATTCGAAGGAGAATCCAATGCTGGGGGCAGCGTATGCGTATGCGGGAATGAAGCCGAGCCAGACAAGTAATGAGCCGGGAATCGCGATGACGGTGTACTTGGTCCAGACGTTGGTGACTAAGGCTGCCTTGCCGAGAACTGTAGCTAGAACAGCAGTATAGAGGGCTGTACCCCATACCCAGAGGCCAGATGTGGTTCCGTCACTGGTTGGCATGTCGTTTTTGAAGATTTGTCGGGAAAGGAGATATGCAACAAGGGAGTGGTAGAAGCCGTTTCCAACCCAGGACCAGAAACTGTGCATCTTGAAAAAGGTGCCTTTCTGGCCGAGCTGGTACAGTTGGGGGTATCGATCCAGGAGTCTCGCAGAGATAAATTGGTCAAAGATACCCATGGCGAAGGGAGGGAGAACAGTGAATAAAACGTTATATAAAGAGAGTGTCCAAGATTCGTAAATAACTTGTCCAGAGAACGAGTTTTCAAATGCGTACTATTAAGCTGTTAGAAATGTAATGGTTAGTAGTAATTGTGAATGAAGACATACCCAGAATTGTGTCATGTAAAGAACAATATTCTTGTAGAATGAATACAGAATCGTCTTGCTAACGCGGGAATAACTCCAGGATCCATGAACGAGAAGTAGTTTTCGAAGATATCGGAATTGGCCAATTGAAATATCAGCACTTCGAGCTGCCTGAAGACCCTCCATACCACTGATACCAACGCCAACGTGCGCTGCTTGAATCATAGAGACATCATTGGCACCGTCACCGATGGCAAGCAAAAGGGCTTTAAGATGGCGTTTTACAAGTTTAACAACAAGAGCCTTTTGTAGGGGGGAGACACGACTATGAAAACTGTTAGTTTAGGCTTGCTTTGTATAGGAGTGCGAGTAATGACTTACCAGCAAATAACTGCCTTACACATGACAGCGAGATCCAGGAAGGTTTTCTCTAATTCCTTCTCAAGGGCGTAGGTAAGTGATTTTCCATCAATGATAAGAGCTAGCGTTTCGACATCTGCTGAATTGGCTTGACTTTTGACCTGTTCGAGCTTCTTCGTCAAGTTGTCCCTGGTACTTAGGGCATCTTCCTCGTTAACAATGAGTAAAGTCATATCTTCCGAAATAAGCTTGCAACTCATGCCGATGTTTATGGCAGTCTCCTGTCGATCACCGGTCAAAACCCAAACCTTGATACCGGCTTGTTGTAACGTGTGGATGGTATCTGGGACGCCGTCTTGGAGTCGATCTTCAATTGCAGTTGCACCGAGGAGGAAGAAATCCTTCTCAATAAGCTCGGCTGCTTTGTCTAGTTCCTCCTGTCTGTTTCCGCTGACGGTGGTAGAAGCTCTGTTAAAGACCTGCCACCATTCCTGGAACTCTTCTTCGGAGATTTCACGCATTGCGAGACAAAGGGTTCGAAGACCTTCGGAGGCGTATTCTTCGAGATGCTGAAGTGTTGTTTCCACGATGGGATTGTCTTGTCCGAGACGTTCGAGAATGACGGTATCGGCTCCCTTGCAGTATATCCGTATTTTGCCATCAGGACATCTGAAGATTGTCGACATACGTTTTCTCGTAGAGTTGAATTCACAGACAGCCAGGAGTTCGAACTCTTGCTCTTCTCCTCGAGCAGAGATGTTGACGTATCTTGGCTTTCGGTTGGTGAATTGGTATCCTAGCATGACGGCACCCTCGACAAGGGCACCTTCATCCGGAGAAGCGGCCTGGTACTTGATTTCACCGGGTTTATCGTCACTTCGTTCAGGGATGACAGTATGGCAGGTAGCGAGTAGAGTGAGGAACTGAACGATTGCGTCGCCTGTTGGATGGGAATCTATGTGTTGTTTAAGTTGTTTAAAGTCGTACATGGCCGTCTCTGTGTCGTCATTATAAGCTGCTCTTCGGTCTTCTGGAACAACCTCAGCGTATTGAATACCACCGATGGAGCACTGTTTGAACTCCATCTGGTTGCAGGTAAGGGTGCCGGTCTTGTCTGAGAAGATGTACTCGATCTGACCGAGTTCTTCAACGAGGGAGGAAGTTCGACAGTTCGACGGAGTATCGGTAGGTTCATAGTAGATATCGAGATCGGAGCTGATGAGAAAGGCGTGGTAATACTTGACGATTTCGATGGTGACGAAGAGCGAGATGGGGACAAGGTTGGAGTACAAGACCCAGTAGGTGAAGATATCGGAGAAGAACTGCTGAGCGAGGTTGACGTTGCTGTAGTCGAGGTAGGATTTGTTCTTGGAAGCAGTGGTACGGATAACCAGATCGCCAATGGAACTTATCAAGCTGAGAGCAACGAGGATTCCAACCAGCATGAGAATTTGCAGGTTTACCATATGTTCGACGGCCGTTCGTTTTATAGGGGTTGCGGTGGCATTTCTCATGAGCTTCGTTTCGTGTCCGGTGAAGACGACGACACCGTGAATCCAGGGGGTGTTCCGCAGCGTAGCTCCTCGAAGAAGCAGCTGGTCGGGGGCAAGGGAGAGCTCCTTTTCACCTCCGCCGGATTGCAGAGTCAGAGTAGCTTCATAGGTGTAGAGACTGCTGTTGGGCTGTTCTGATTTGATCCTCGATGTCAATCTGCTAAGCTGACCAGCGCTTACTAGATCGGCCGTCTCAGGGATACCCTGCTTAATCTTCAGGTTGGTCTCTCCGTCCAGATTGGCTGTTTCGATGTAGCAGAGTGCTTCGGGCTCGGAGCTGGCAAGCAGGACCAGGTCTGCAGGAAAAGGTTCCTCGGACTCGACCCGGACGATGTCTCCCACCGCCACGTCTATCCATTTGACCTGTTCGAAGTTTGAACCACGCAGCACCTTTGTCTTCGAGTGATTGAGAGACTTGTCCGAGCTCTTCCGCTTGTAGTCTTCGACCAATTCCTTGATGGCGGAGACTATCAGCACGACGATGAGCGGGCCAATGGTCGTATATCTGTTTGTAGGCGAGATGTTGGGGATCTGCTGGAGGACGGCGGTGAAGAGGAAAAACAGGTTGGCGTATTTGGAGAACTGTTCGAAGAGGAATTTCGGTAGGAAGGTGAAGATGTTGTATTTGGCGGTAGATATATGGTTGTCGACGAACTTGTGAGCAGCGTTTGCGGGAGCATTGTTGAGCAGGATGATGCGAGGCCCCAAGGTCGAGGGATCAGGCTCTCGCCGTCCAAAGCCAAACTTGAACTTGCTGGCCTTGGGCTTGCCAGGGGGCGGCGTCTCGTCTGTGTCTGCGGTGCCGACCCTGCGAGAGGCAGCTCCGGCCTCAGTCAAGGGCAGATCCATCTCAGAGTACTCGGGCTTGATTCCCAGCATGTTCTTTGCTCTGCCCATGATGCCACCGCCCAGGGCCATGATGCTGTTTCTATCTCTTGCGCGGGCGTCGCGTATGGGAGTGGCGCCGTCAGACCTGTCTCCGTCGTTGTAGTATCCATACGTCCGGTCGTCCTCGAGGTCGTCTAGATCAGAATACCGCTGGTAATTGTGCAGGTCTGAGGTCTGCGTGTACATCCCCGTAGCACTGCCATCGCCCCCATACGCCCTGCTGGCGTCATCCTGGGGCTGTCCGTGGCGGCCACCGCTGTGAATATTATTATTATTATGATTGCTGCTGCTGCTGCTGTTGTTGCTGCTGCTGCCGCCGTGCGCTGGGGGCCGTCCCTGGCCGCCGACAAAGTCATCGTAGGAGACCGACGGCCGCGCCGACGACGACGGCTGGTCGGAGTCGTTGATGTTGAACTGCTGCACCAGGCTGTCGTCGCCCACCGGCGGTCTCTGGCCGGAGCTGTACTGCGAGGGAGCGTCGTCGAGCTGGAGGAGGTTGTCGCCGTGGCCTCCAGGAGGCCTGCCGCTGGCCATGTCGCTTGGTCCTGCGCGACCCGGTCACGGAGAGGTAGAGGCGAAGACACGCTCGCTCATCGAAGGCTCCCTTGCTCGTCCGGTCGGTTCGGTCGTCCTTTGTCTCCTTTGCTGGGTCGGTCTCGCGCTGGCTTCGCTGGCTGCTGGCGTGTGGTGGTTTGCGGGCTCCAAAGGGGGCGTCTAGAGGCACAGGACGGTCAGTATCAGGCCGTTAGCCGCGGCGTCGACTCGCGGGCAAAAGGACATGAAGCAGTTAGTGAAGACGGAGAGGACAACGGGGGAGGCCGTACGCTGGGGATCAGGCTGCTCGGTGACCCTTCGCCCTGCTGCAGCTGGCGTGTGAAACTCGGGGGTTTTTTCCTTTTCGCTGGCAGGGAGATTCGTACGTTCTGCGAGGCGAAGCAGTTCAGCCACAGCGCAATTTCAGGCCAAGCGACCCTACGTTTAGGCAAACACGGAGCCCGGCGTCTGTCTGCCTGTCTGCGCTGCTGCTCGCATCCTACGGACTGTGTGGGAGTTACTGGTGCTGCTACTGGCTGGCCCGTCGCTTAGGAGGCGTCTATGCTGCTTTATTCTGCTTGTGTTCTTTATTTCGCTAGCTAAGTACTCCGTAGCTACTGGTAAAATAACTATATGGTAAGCCTGGCTGGATGCCGACTATTAATAGCTCGAAACAGCGTGGGTCGATCGAGATAAGTCGGCGGGAGATCCAGCTGCGCGCGCTGGCAAGCGAGCCTTGGAGTTGGCCGTTTGAGGATGGGGATGCTGCTGCGGGCCGGCGGCATGGCTGAGCTGGTCGGTCGTTAGCCGGACGTTCCGTCGCTGGAGATAAAACGTCCTGGATATGTCCCTGCGTGTACGGAGTGGCTGTTCCAGGAGTGAATGGTCCAGTGCCATAAATAATAGACTCGCTGGATCGTCGGATAGGTCTTCGTCGATTGTTTTGTTTCATGGTCACCTCTCGTGGGCAGCACTAAGCCCTGCCGTGGGCCGTTTCTTCTCCCGAATCTGCTTGTCCTCCTCCAGCCGGGCAGCAAGCAGCTTGTTCAGCTCCCTCACCTTCTCCAGCGCAAGCGTAGAGCAGTTCACCATATTCACCGGGTCCGCTGGTGCCCCGTCAGGCTTCGAGTACAGCGCAATCTCCCCCGTCTTGTCAAGAGCAACGACCAACGACCCTTCACTGACTGCCTCCTCGCTCGTCGTGGCGTCTAGGAGCATGATCTTGCCTTCATCGTAGAGATTGAACGTCACGGACAGCGGGATCTTGGTCAGGTTCAGCTGTACAGGCACCTTCTCCTCCGTAGTGAAGACAGTCACCTCGCCATCTCGCACTGTAGATTCCGGCAGACGGAAGTGAAGCAGCCCCGCCATGATGGCAAGGCAGCTCGCATCAATCAACCCTCCGTCACAGTCCAGGATGTGAATGTCTGCCCGGACGTTCCAGCATATCCTCCCCTTAGCAATACACAGAGACTCCGTGTCCAGCGCATTGGACCGCCGAACAATCTTGTCTAGCGTGCGGGAGAGGCTGACCTCCAGCTCCGATGGCCTACCACCCTATCCATTAGCTATTTTTCTTTCCCTCGTAGCCAACACAGTCAATATCAAAAACGCACCGTCCGGTCTCGTAGCCCGGTAGAGCCATGTCGTTCAATTCCACCACAACAGTAAATATCCCGTCGCAATCGCGCTCAGGCCGCGGGGTCGTCAGCTCTGCGGAAATTCGTACCAGCACCCTATCGACATCTCCAGTTAGTACATGGCTCCAGCCTGTATACAGAGAATTGAAAAGACTGTCTACTCACGCTGTCTTCCCAAGTTGCACCTTGACGTTGCCATGCTCCTCGCCAAAGGTCAGCTCGACAGGCCGGAGCTGGTCGAACCGCCGCCCATCGAGCCGCACATTCTTGTGCAGAGCTTCGAGGATGAATGCCCGCTCGTTCACCGAGATCTCTGCGTCTCTCGCCATCTTGACGGCGTTTCTGTCGTTGTTTTTGAGCTTTTTTGCTTCTTTTTCCTGCTTCAACTTTGCACTTTGTAGAATTGCTTAGTCAGCACATACATCGGATGGGCATTACTGATTGAGATTTGTGTTCGATATTTATTATATTATACAAGTGGCTTATGAGTGGCTGGTTACGGTGTCGGATTAAAGGATAGTCAGGGGAGTTTACTGTCAGAGTCAGGAGAGAATAGGAAGATCAAGTGATGTATCAATGATGGCTTGAGATGGTTGAATAGCGGATATATTTTGACAGCTGTCTCTACCCCTATTACTCGGCGTGTAACCGGTGGCTTGCACCGTAACGGCAGAGATTGCTCCCTGTGTACTGGATAGAGACAAGTTTCTTCAGGTTGTAACACCTCTGCCGGTCTGGCATGTTGTCGTGTCATCCGTGGGTGCCGTTGAGGTAGCAGCGGCGTGGTAAGGTTGATCATGTAACTGTCAACGCTTACTCAGGCTATTGGTAGCCTCTAAAGAATTCATTCCTTAGCCATAGGTATGAGGCGCCCTTAACCGTAGTATGTTGGTTGGCCTGCCAATATGCTGACACTTGGCGCAGTGTGCTTTTATATAAGCTTGATGATAGTTTCTTCCATGATTGCTCACTTTGGCTTTTCGTTCGCTCCAGCATACAGCCCCGGTAGCCCTGACGGAGGATAACCCTGCTGCCCAAAATTCTGGGGTGGCATTCCAGGAGGTGGGAACTGTGGGTTGGGGAACATGTGAGCTATATTCGGCGGTATGCTGCCCGGCATATTCGGGTTAGAGAAGAAAGGTGGTGGGGGAGGCTGTGTGCCATGGGGAAATGGAGGTTGTTGACCCTGGCCCGGCGGCGGAGGTGGAGGAGGAAGGCCGCCTTGGGATAGCATGGCAGCCAATCGCCCGGGATCCATCTGTGGAAGAGCTGGGGGCGCCCCGGATGCATTAGGTGGTGGCGGAGGTGGAGGTTGTAATGCCCCAATACCAGGAAGGAGACCCGGTAGGCCTTGGCCTTCAGCAGCAGTGTTTTGAATTCCGGGGATTTGTGATTCGGCAGCTTGTCTTTGGTCCATGCGACTTTCGTCTTCTGCCTGTGCTTCCTGTTCTTCTTCCTCACGCATCTGTTTCCGTCCAAATCCACGGTTCCATGTTCCCTGTGCTTCAGCAGCCTCTTCTCCGATGTGGAATCGGTCCTTGAGGTAATTGATCTCCCCTGGTCTGGCACGGGACCAGAAACGGGTAAAGTTGTCTTTGGATCCGGAAGCGAGGATGTGGCCTAGCGGGTGCCAGTCAAGGGACCAAATAGTCGATCCGTGGGCATACTGGATCTTGTGCGCTGGGAATATTACCTGAGCAGGAGCGTTGGTGGGATCTGTAGTGCCATATGGAGCAACAGTAGGCATCTGCCCGGCAGGAAGATTAGGCTCGTCAAGTAGATAGTGATACAAGGACCCATCTTCGCTGCCGGTGGATATCATGTTACTGTGCATTGGATGCCAGGCCAGAGACGAAATTGGTTTATCATGGCCTCTAAGTATACAGATGTCCCGCATCATACGCAGGTCAAACACACGGCCGGTCTGGTCGCGAGAGGATGTTCCCAACAAGTTGGTGTTGACTGGGGAAAACTTCGTGGTAGTGACGGTGTTCTTATGGGTATGTAGGGTGGTCAAGCACCGGCCTGTACGAGGATCCCAGAACTTGACTTGGTGGTCCTTGGAGCCTGAAACCAGCAGACCCTTTGTTGGATGCCAATCGCAAGACTTAACATCCCATCCATGCCCAGTCAGGACCATCTCGCACGTCCGCGCAGTGAAATCAAATATTTTCAGTGTGGTATCGTCCGAGGCTGAAAGAAACTTTGAATCGTTAGGACACCATGTCAGATCCCTGACGGCTTCTTGGTGCGCATCATCGACAGTCTCGACGTTGTTAAAGTTTGGTCTCCAATACTTGACATCACCCTTTTGTCCGCCTGATATAAGCCAGTCGTGGCTATGTGACCAGGCAGCCGATGTCACGCCAGCCTGGAACTGGTCATAGTGTGCCTGTATTTCACCGTTAGCAGTGGCCATTATACGCGAGAAACTGGCACTACCATACATCCATGACAGTTTCGAAATTGAAAGCTGTGCCGTTCCATAACATGAATTCGCCCGTATGACCGCCTGTGAGCAAACGACGACCGTCCGGCGTCCATCTCACGACTGTTATGGGCTTCTTCGATTTTCCAATGGATTGATGTAGATGCCTAACGGGTATAGTATTTGCAGCGGAGTGTATTGTAGCAACTGGAGGAAGCATCTGGCAGAGTAATTCAAGGGTGAGTTATATATAGCTCCCTAGCTTTGCAGGTTGAAGGTAGACGAACATCAACGGTATAGCTAGCACTCGGCCGCTCTACTTCCAGCCTGGGAGATCCTTTGTATCGAGGCTGTCGAACCCGCACCCATTGCACCAGCGACGAGCCATAATCCGTGACAGGCCCTATACACCGTTCAATTAGCAAGCTGCGTTCCTGATAAGCTCGGCGGTCCTGGGAGTCGACATACTCGGTCGTCGTGGACCCAAAGCCGGTCGCGGCGCAAAGGCGGCTTCACCCCCTTCTTCAAATAAGGCCATGACAGATATAAAGACGGCGTCACAGCAAAAGAAACGGCGGAGAGCTGGGCGAAGAGCGCTTCTTCTGCTGTTTGTCTGCTCGATCAAAATATCCAAACATCGTCAACTTTAGCTTCAAAGAACGATTATGTAAGATTTATATTACTAATCTATTACGTACGTCATTATTTACATAACCCATCATGTGACCGTCGCGTCGCGTCAAAAAAAAAAAAAAAAAA